TTGGTTATAGAAATGTTTATTCAAGAGTCTAAACAGCAGCACCCTTCTAAAAGAAGTTTTAAATTTTCCATTAAGAAGTTGAGGTGTACATGATTGAAGTTGTGGGCGGGTTGTGACAATGATATGACCTGAAAGACTGCCAGGAACTGTTCAACTAGTGTCACAAAGATCCTAAGCCTCAGTATCCATTCATAGGAATGTCATGTCATGCTGTTTCATTGACAGCTTAGGAGTTGTGACAATTTAGTCACTTTTGTATTCTGGCAGGTGACAGCTGTTTTAAAATATGCATTGCAATTGTGCAAAAGTATATTACAATAGAATGGGAGAAAGTATTTTCAAGTCATATATATAACAAGAACTTGACTCCAGAATACTTAAAGAATTCTTAAGACTGAACAATAAAGAAGACAAATAATCTGCTTGGCATGGTGGCGCATGCCTATAATCCCAGCACTTGGGAAGCTGACGCAGGAGGATTGCCTTTTGAGGTCACCCTGGGCCATGTAGTGAGTTCAAGGCCAGCTTGGACTACATAGCAAGACACTCTCTCAAAAAAACAACAGAAACAAACAAAACAAAACAAGACAATCCAATCTAAAAATGGAAGAGTTTTAAATAGCTACTTTTTTTTGTTTGCTTGGTTTTTTAAAACAAGGTCTTGCTATGTGGTTCAGGCTGACCTTGAACTCAATGTGTGACCCAGGGTGACCTCAAACTTGTGGTGATCCTCCTGCCTCAGCCTCTCAAGTGCTGGGATTATAGCTGTACACCACCATGCCCGGCTAAGTCATTTCTTTCAAGTAGGTACATAAATGATCAGTGAACACAGAAAAGAAACCTAACCCCATTGTCATTAGGGAAATGAAAATCAAAATCACAAGACACCATTTCACTCTCACTAGATAGCAATAAAAAAAAAAGACAGACAATAGCAAGTGTTGTGATGATGTAGAGAAATTATAACACTGATATTCCAAATGGTGCAGCCACTTTGGAAAACAATTTAGTACTTCCTAGAAAAGTGGAACAAAATAACATATGCCCCAGCAATTCTACCTCTAGGTACTGTATATACCCAAGATAAATGAAAATATAAAAAGTTGTACATCCATACTCACAGCATTATTCACAATAGCTAAAAAATGGAAGCAATCCAAACGTCCACCACAGATAAACAGGTAAACAAAATGTGGTCCACTCGTACAATGGGGTACCGTTTGGCAATAAAAACAATAGTCCTTATACACGATAACAAGGAATGGACCTTAAAGACACCATGCTCAACAGGGGAGTTAAAGAAGCTTCGGTGGGGAAATGACTACTCATGTAATTGACTTCTCTCTGGGTGTTAAAAATATCCCAAAATTAGACTGTGGTGATACCCGCACACTCTGTGAACACACTATCATGTAATCACTGAACTGTACATGTAGCAAAAACATGGATTTTCTTTTTTATTTATTTTGTTTTTGCTTTTTAAGACAGGGCCTTGCTGTGTAGTTCAGGCTGGCCTTGAACTCACTATGTAGCTCAGTCTGGCCTGGAACGCATGGTGATCCTCCTGCCTCAGCCTCCCAAGTGCTGGGATTACACAGCACGCACCACCATACCTAGCAACACATGGATTTTCTGGAATGTGAAATAGCTCAATGAAATGATTTTTTAAAATAGCATTTTTGTTTTAGAGACAATGTGGGGAAATTTCAACAATATCTGTTGTACTGTCAGTAGTTTACTATTAATTTTGTTGGGGATGAGAGTGGTATCATGGGATAGATTTCCAACTCATTTGCTGTAGGTAGGAAATGCTCTTCAGAGAGAACTGTGATGTGCAGATCCCCGACTCTCTACTGGTGCTTTCTGTCTCCATCCATCTCCCTGGGGAAAACCAGGGACCAAATATCCCGAGCAGGAACTCCACTACCCCAACACAGAAGTGTCAGGCAGGGCCTGGAAAAGATAGCAGAACCTAGGGGGCGGCTCTACGGGCAAGAGCTATCCACAATGGGAAAAAGGCACAAGGTGCTTTTTCCTACCTTGGGGAGTTGCAAACAGAGGCCAGTGGAGGCCAATAGGTCAGAGTCTAATGCTGAGCTCTGATGGCCCATACATAGGCAGGGAGGGTAGGGGAACCCTTCTTCTGAATACAGAACCCCGGGACCTTCTTCCAGGCCATGAGACCGCTGTGGGGAGGTGAGGCTTTTGCAAAACCGGACTGTAAAGGCAAGGCAGCATCACAGACTTGACATCTTTTAGAAAGGAATGATGTTCAGAGTAGTGATTTTGTCATATTTTTTCGAGGTCCACAGCTGGACAGGTACCAATGACACTAAGATTAGACAATTACTGATCTGCTAGTCTGAAGAGAGGAAGCAAAAATGTAAAAGGGATAGGGCTACAGCTCAGTGCAAAGGCCCTGGGTTCAATCCCCTGGTACCACCAGAAGGAAAGGAGGGAGGGGGGAAGGGAGGGAGGCTTCTTGTGCCAACCCTTATAAACAGGTGAAGCGGAATACTGTGTTTCTTCTGTGGGAAATTCTCTTTGACTAAGTTGACTCATGACAGATGCCTGGTAGGCAGAATCACGGCCCCGATATCCACATCGTAATCCCGAAAACTGCAAATGTTACCTTATATGGCAAAAGGGACTCTGCAGAGGTTATTAAGTATCTTCAGACAGGGACGATTACCCTGGGTGCCTGACACACTCGGAACAACCCTTGTAAGCGGGAGGCAGGGGAGCCAGTGGCAATGGCAGTGGTGACAGAAAGGTGGAGGGTTATACTTTGAAGAGGGAGGAAGGGCCTCCAAGGCAGACAGTGTAGGTCACTACTAGAAGCTGAAAAACAAAATCAGAAGAATCAGATTCATCTTAGAGCCTCCAGAAGGAACTGGCCCTGCCCCCGGCTTGCTTTCAGCTCAGTGAAACTGACTTTGGATTCCTGACCTGTGGAGCTGTAGCAGATGTCTGTGTTGTTTCAGGTCACTTGTCATAGCATCAACAGGAAACTCCTACAGACGTGACAAAGACTCAGAAGTTATTCAGAGACAACAATGAAACTGGCCTGGACAAAAAGGGCAGGGTGAGGGGGAACAGTGAGAAATAGAGGGCCTTGACCACAGTGTCACATTGAAGGCTGGAGTGAGGTGAGGGGCAGGCTGAACACCGAAGATAAAACGTGCCCAGGAGTTATCAGAGTAGCTGGGAAGTTGACCTTTGTTTAGACCCTCCAAACGCTAGGAAGGCCAGTGGACTCTCGAATCTGACACACTCCCCAGGATCTGTAATTCGGGCAGAAGTGCCCTGAGGTCAAGGGCCTCAACCACTCAAGTCCTGAACACCTATTCCTCTTGGGTGGCGCATGGGCCAAGTCCAAAAGCTAAGATGATGTAACACACACCGTCCTAGAACTGCTAAAAAGAGTGTGGGAGCTTCCCAACTGTGGCACCACTGACGTGAGAGGCTGGATGAGGGCGGAGGGTGCCGTCCTGTGTGCTGGAGGGCCTTCCGTGGCATCCACCCGAGGCCAGGAGCAACCCTCCTTCCCTGAAGTCTTGACAACCCAAAATGTTTCCGGGCATTGCCAGATGTCCCCTGGGGGCAAGACCACTGCCAGGCTGCGCATCTCCAGGCAGGGACACGGAGCCATGACTACAGCAGACGTCAGCTTAGATCTTCACGCCAGCAGCTCTGGTAAGATGGGTGGAAGTGGACGGAGTGGACACGGGCAGGAACAAAAGGCAAAGGCAAGAGCCTGTGCCAGGGCCCCACGTGGGCACTAGTGTCTTGGCAGTTAGGAGTAATGTCGATTTTAGGGGGCCAAAGAACACAGGCTGCAGTCGTGAGGTGACGGGCAGAGACCTGACAAGGCAGGTATTTAGCAGGAACGCTACCTGCTCTTACTGATGCAATCTCCAGAAGTTTCCCCTAAGCTGACAGAGGGGCCAGCTTGCCCAGGTTATCTTGTATACTGACCAGGTCTCAATTCTTACTTTGATAAATCAGGTGGGTGGAATTACATGACCTCCTAGGCCTAGGTCTGGGACTCTGATGTGTTACATAAGTATATTTTGTCACTTTAAAAAGATGCTTTTGAGGAACACTGTACAAATCATGAAATTAACCCATTTCATTGATTTTTCAGTAGAGTCCATGGGTTGTGCATCCATCCTTGTAATCTACTGTGAAACACTGTTATCATTCCAATCATTTTGTTAGACTTGAGGCCAATGGTCTAGGTGAGAAAGGAGAGCAGGCATAGTTCTTACCTCCCCAAGGCAGCTTTTACCCACTACTATTCCTCCCTGTAGCTTTTCCCTGTCTTGTACTGGGGTTGTGGTAGCATATGGATTTTCTTTTTATAAATCTAAAGGTGCTTTGATATAAAAAGATCCCTCAAACGCAACTTTTTTTTCTTTTTCCTGATACTGAGGATCAAACCCAGGGCTGCTACATCCACAGCCCTCTTTAATTTTTTTTTTTCTTTTTCTTTTTTTTTTTTTTTTAGTACTGGGAATCAAACTCAGGACCTTGAGCTTGCCAAGCAAGGTGCTGTACCGCTGAGCTATATCCCTGGCCCATTTTTTAGTTTTTTGAGACAAGGTTTTGCTAATTTACCCAGCATGGCCTTCAGCTTGTGATACTCTTGCCTCAGTCTCCAATACTGCTCAGATGACAAGTGTGTGGCATGGTACCTGGCACCTTTTTTGTTTTTTAATAAAAGCACTGTCTACTTATTTGGCACCCTCTCCTCATACCAATGTGTACATATTCTCACTTGATCTGTCCTTTGTTATGCAGATCTAGGAATTAGAAAAAAATTAGGGATTTATTTTCCTATGATTTTGTGGTTGTTGTTTTGTCTTTTGAAACAGGGCCCCACTATGTAGTTCAGTTGGCCTTGAACTCAGTAAGTAGCCCAGGCTGGCCTCAAACTAGTGGTGATCTTCCTGCCCCAGCCTCCCAAGGGCTGGAATTATAGGCACATGCCAACACGCTGTTTTCCAATGAATACTGACTTTAAGTTACGGTAAAATGCTGAAGTATGCACACATCAGAAACTTGTGTGAAATGACAGCAAATGTATAACTCTATATGCTTCAACATATCTTAGAGGATAAATAAAGCAAGAGATGGCGTAACGGAAGGAGCCACCTGCTGGGTCATCCTGATTCTCCCTTAGTAGTCACTCCTACCTCTTGCAGAGACTGCAGTCCTCTTATTCCAACACCCAGACTTGGTATCTCTGTACCCTGTCACCATGTGCTACTGGGCCCTGGCTAAGCCTACCATAGGGCCCCTCACCAGCCACATGTGCACCGTTACCCTCCAAGGCTGCTTGCTCTCCTTGCAAGTCACCAGTCAGTCTGTGATTTACATGCAAGTAGTAGGAGAAACATAAAGCCTTTCCCTGTGACTGCAGAGCATTCGATGCCTTCAGTCCCCATGGTGAAGCCTGTGGTGCTGATGAAGGTTTGAGCTCTGGCGAAAGCTTTTCCCACACTGGCTACACTGGTATGGCTTCTCGCCAGTGTGGATCCTCTGGTGCAGCTTCAGGGTGGACTGCCGCCCGAAGCAGTTCCCACACTCCCCACAGGTATACGGCCGTTCTCCTGTGTGTACCCTCTTGTGTCGTTTCAGCTCTGAATTCCACGTGAAGCTTTTCCCACAGTCATCACACTTGTAAGGTTTCTTGGCAGAGCGGGTTCCCTGGTGACCCAGCCGCTGTAAACGACTGCTAAGGCCTCTTCTTCCACCTTTGCTTTTCCTCAGACCTCTCAGTGGGTGGCCTTTGTGGGGGCTGCTGATGTGTTCCAGTTCCCGGCAATGTCTCTGGTAGTGAGCAAAGGGCTTCTGAGCATTTGGGGGGCTGACCTGCCTCCGTGGCAACCGGGGGTCACACACCTTTGCCCCTCTTGCTTCCAGGCTCTGCAGACCATTCCCTTTGGCTCTGCCACTTGGCACTGCACATGGCTTTGCTCCTTTGGCCTCTTCCTGTTGTGGATTTTCCTTGTTGTCACTTCTTATTCTGGGGGCCTCTACAATTAGAAAGAATATGCTTCATTTTCTATTAGAAGAAGGAACTTCAGCAAAAGTGTTAAGAAATAACTACGAAGTTTCTCAGAGCATGACTCTCCACTGGCAATGTGCATTACATTCTTTGGGTACTTGTTAATATGCAGCCCCACCTTCACCACTCCCCCAAAGCACTGAATCAGAATCTCTGGCTCCTGGGGTGGTACTAATTTATATTAAAGTTGAGAACGAAGTCTTCCAAACCCTTCCCTTCTTATCTTTAGGAAAAGGTTTACATTTCCCTGTTCCTCTTTACCTAACTTATCAGTATCAACTAATGAATGAACTAATGCTCATCAGTATCAACTAATGAATGAAAGGAAGAGAATGAATTGACAAGTGTGGTGGTGCACACCTGTAATCCTAGCACTCGGGAGACTGAGGCAGGAGGATTACCGTAAATTCAAGGCCAGCCTGGGTTACACAGTAAGTCCAGGCCAGCCTGAACTACATAGCAAGACCCTGTCTCAAAAGAAAAGAGAGAATTAACTGATTGCCAAGGTCTCACTGTGTTGACTAGGGTAACTTCAAACTCCTACATTCAAATGATCCTCCTGCCTCAGCCTCCTTGAGTTGCTAGAACTACAATTTATGATGTGTACCACTGCACCTGGTTAACAGTAGCCAAAAAAATCTTCGTGTGCTGCTGTGCATTCAATCCTAGGCCTCACACATGCTAGGCTGGCACTCTACAGTGTATTGTGCTATTTTTATTTATTATTATTATTATTGTGTTTGGTTTTTGTGACAGGGTTTCACTATGTTGTCCAGGCCAGCCTTGAACTTGCTGGGTAGCCCAGGCTGGACTTGTGATCCTCCTAATTCAGCTAACCAAGTTCTGAGATTACAGGCATGGGTACTACCTGGCCTTTTTTTTTTTGAGACAGAGTTTTGCTAAACTACCCAGGCTGACCTCAAAATTATGATCTTTCTGCCTCAGTTTCAAGTAGTTGGGATCAGCGTTATGTACCACCACGCCTAGTTGAAAGAGTAGAAATTTGATACTAAAAACAATGATTTCGACAAATACCTCTCATTTACAGGGATACTGGTCAACAACCCCTTTCTCTTTAAAGAATCTAGTGACTTGTGTTTTCTTTCATTCAAAGGTGATGGCATATTTGTTTAGAAACAGAAATATAGGAGTCAGGGATATAGCTCTGCAGCATAAGCGCCTGCCTGGCAAGCACAAGGTCCTGAGTTTGATTCCTGCAGCTCCACAGTTAACATGTACGTTATTAACATGTATGTTAATTACAGAAACTTCCTACCTTCTGATTACCAGGATTGAGGATTACCGTTAAACTGAGCTGGAACAGCCCATGGGAAGACGGAAGATCTGAAGCAAGACCTGTGAGGTGAAACTGTGTATGTGTACCATCTAATATGGCAAATGTGACCACATGGCTGTTGAGTATTTGAAATGTGGCTAGATAATGTGCCTGGGGAACTGAATTTTTAATTTTAATTAACTGAAATTCAAATTTAAAGCCAGGTGTGGTGGCACATCCCTGTATACCAGTACTCCGAAGGTTGGGTCAGAAGGATTGTTTTGAGCTCAAGGTCAACCTGGAATACATAGGGAGTTCAAGACCAGCTTGAACTACATAGCAAGACCCTGTCTCAAAACAAAAAACAAAACAAAAAGAAAGAAATTCAAATTGAAATAAGCAACCCAAACAATTATAGCCAATTGACTTTAATCATGGTTCTTGAAATAGTATATAGACAGAATCATTTTTTCAATAAATGATGTTGGGACCAGTGGATTTCCATTAAAAGAAAAAAAAAAAACAAACGAGGCCAGGTGTGGTGGTGCACATCTGTAATCCCAGCACTCAGAAGGCTGAGGCAGGAGGATTGCCCCGAGTTCAAGGCTAGCCTGAACTGCATAGTGAAACCCTGTCTCAAAAAAACACCAAAAAAAAAAAAGAAAGAAAAAAAGAAGTTGGATCTTGCTATGGTCTAAATATTTGTGTCTCCCTGCAACTTTACAAGCTGACAATCCCCAGTGAAGTTGTATTAGGAAATGGGGTATCTGGGAGATGATTAGGTCATGAGGATGGACCTCCTCATAAATAGGATTAATGCACTCATTAAAAAAAATGCCAGAGAGAACTTGTTTACCCCTTTCGTTTTTCATTTATATGAGGACATAGTAGGTGTCATGTATGATGACACCCCCCCATACACCACACACACACACACTATATCTGTTGTTGCTTTGATCTTTAATGTTGGATTTCTCAGCCTCTGGAAGGGTGAGAAACAAATGCCTGTTGTTTATAAATAAATTACCCAATCTAGCTGGAAGTGGTAAGCACTCCTGCAATGCCAGCACTCAGGAGGCTGAGGCAGGAGGATCACCACAAGTCCAAGGCCAGCCTGGGCTACACAGTGAGTTCAAGGCCAGCCTGAGCTACACAATGAGACCCTGTCTCAAAACAAAACAAAACAAAACAGAAAAAGAAAAGGAAAAAGAAAAAGAAACAAATGTACAGTGTAAGGGGCTGTTATAGTAGCTTGGATGGTCTCAGACAGACCTCTACTTCACAGCACTTATGAAAATTAACCCAAAATGGACCAAAGATAAAAATATGAGATAAATCTCTCTTTGAAAAAAATTCTGTAAATCTTTGCAGCCTTGAGTTAGGCAATGATATTTTAGATATGACTAAAGCACGTAAAAAGCACAAGCAAAGAAAAAATAAATTAGAATATATCAAGATTAAAAACATTTGCAAGCCAGGGATGGTGGTGAATGCCTGTAATTCCAGCACTCAGGAGGCTGAGGCAGGAGGATCGTTGCAAGTTCATGACCAGCCTAGGCTACAAAGTGAGGCCAGCTTAAACTGCATAGCAAGACCCTGTCTCAAAAAGACATACATACATACATACATAAATAAATAAATAAAAAACATTTGGCCTTCAGAAGATACCAATAAGAAACTGAAAGGACAACAAATAGAATGGGAGAAAATATTTGCAAATTACACATAAAGTCTGATATTCAGAATACATAAAGAATTCTTAAAACTCAACAGTAAAAAGACAAAAAACCCACCCAATTTAAAAATGGGCAAAGGATCTGAATGCTATTTCTTCAAACAAGATATTCAACTGACTAATAAATACATGAAAGACGCTCTCAACATCATTACTACTTAGGGGAAATGCAAATCAAAACTAAAGGGAAATATCTGGATGTAGTATGTATACACACAATGGAGCACTTCTCAGTCATAAAGACAAATAAGTTTGATCCATTTGTAGGAAAATGGGTCTATCTGGAGACGATAATGCTGAGTGAAGTAAGTCAGATGTAGAAAGTGGAATATTGCATGGTTCCTCTCATCTGCAAAACTCAAAGTACAAATAATTTAAAGAGCAAAATAAAAGAAAGATCATAGAAAACAGAGAGGGAGACCTTTTGGAGAAAGGAAAGGAGGGGCTGGGGATTTAGCTCAGTGGCACAGCACCTGCCTGGCAAGCACAAGGTCGTGAATTTGATTCCCAGTACTGGAAAAAAAAAGAACCAAAAAAAAAAGAAAGGAAAGGATTTAAGTATGGAGGAAGAGGGAAGGGAGGATAGGGGAACAAGAAATAAAAAGGGTTAAGATGTAATATGTGTATGTACCAACTCCCCATGATGAATGCATTCATTGTCTGTCATGAATATGTACTAATAAAACACACACACAATAATTTTTTTTAAAAAAAATTCCCAAGGGGATACCACATCACACCCAGCAGAATGGCTGTAATAAAAGACTTAAACAGCTGCTGTAAGGAATGGGAAGGAATTAGAGCCCTCATACTCTGTCAGTGGGAATGTAAAATGGTACAGCTGGAAAATGGTCTAGTCAAACATAGAGTTTAGCAATTCCACTCCTAGCATACACCCAAGAGAAATGAAAACATATGTGCACACAACACTTGTATGCAAATGCTGACAGTGACATTACTGATAACAGGCAAAAGAAGAAACAAAACTCCACCAATTGATAAGTAAATAAACAAGGTATGGTCTATTGGTGCAATGCATT